AGGAAAAATCAAGGACCAGAGGGAAGAGTTTAACTTGCTCAAGCTGGTGCAGCTAATATAATTCTAGAAACAAAGTCTTCTGCATCCCAGGCCAATTCTGTTTGCTAAATGAGAGGCCACAAAAAGTAATTCTCATCACTTAAGGATTTAAGGGCCTGCATACCTTTTCTCCCCCAGGTTTCATCAGCTTACACTGCTGCCAGTCTCTCACTAGAGCCAAACATTTACATTCAGAGTATAGCCTTTGATCAACTTCTACCCTAGATACCTATATATATTGGTACTGTGCGGGGAGGGGGAGGGAGGGGGAGTACACCGAGGTGATGATGATAAGCACAGTCCTAAGCATGAATTTCTACTTTGAGACTAAAACAGCTCAGGGGATGACTGCCTAGGATGAGGCTGCAATGGCACAAAGTGACACTTCACCCCCCTTCTTTCCCAACAGGAAAAGGGATGTGAGAAAACAAATCAGCATGCATCGGAGGATGGCCTCACTTCACTGCTACCCACCCATCTGCTCAGCAGACTTCATGGCAAGAGCTCTCCTTGGAAGTGGTTGAAAGGGAACAACACCTTGCAGTGGGAGATCAACTTAATTGGAAAGACTTGACCTTCCTTGTCCCTTTCACAAGTAATTACATTTGGAGTGTAGGCACTGCACTGACAGACTGCCTCTTCCCCCTGATGTGGAAACCCCAACCTTCCCCACCAAGTAGTTCAAGTCTGCCTGCTTAGGAAAAACCGAAGAGCGCACTTTTAGACCAAGTGGACATTTAACTGCATGCCTGAGAACAGCACAGCACAGTGAAGATGCCAAAATGTCTGACACCTGAAGAGAAGCATCAAGTGCATCCCACTTTAACCAATCTAAGAAATGTCTGCCAATTTTATAGTTGGATACTTTCATTTACCTGATTTAGTTGGTTTGTTTTTTTGGGGTGTTTTTTACAGCTTTACTGCTAGTCCCCCCCCCCCTTTTTTTTTCCTTCCCAGTTCTAGGCTTAAGAAAGTATAATATAATTGGCGGAGGGAGTGCAGAGATCCAAATCTGGGTTAAAATCCTAGATTGGCTATTCTATGACCTCAGGCAATTTCGGTAACCTTTATTTCCTCGACTAAAATGTTGCCCATAGCTGGAGTTATTGTGAAGATTACATGAGAACATGTAAGCATAGGGAGTACTCATAGTAGGAACTCAGAAAATGTTCCTGCTTCTTCCTAATGCAAAATGACCACATTCAACCTCAGGGCAAGCAAAAAAAAAAACACGGAAACTGACTCAAATTAATCACATACCAAAGCAGTTCCCAGTATTTAACATAGAAGACTGCCCTAAACCATCACTTCCTAATCTGTCTTTTGTAATCTGTTGGATGAGCAGCCTGATATCTGATATCCCAGAGATACAGCAGCTGGGATACAAGGCTTAAAATTATCCTTTCCTCTGAAACTCAAAGAAAGAATCCTGAGGACAGCTCTTTGACAAGGGCAGTGGGGGACAAAAGCCATAAATTCATGAGTAATAGGAGTATCTAAAGTAGAAAGAGGTACTCTTGAACAAAGATAATCAGTTGTCCACCACACCCAAAATCAACTTCCTAGTGTCATCTCTGAAAATAAAGGACATGGGAGTGTTAGAGTGTGTGTGCATATGTGTGATGTTCCCAACAATCAGACAGTGTTTAATAATGGAGAGCCACATAGATATCCTATATAATAAAGAACTAATATGCTAATTAGACCAAACAGCCAAACGACCGTCCAGATGACATTCCAGACTAAGCCAGGGCTGCAAAGGCAGGCCGGGGCAGCTGGAGCTGCAAGGGCCAAGTCCCTTGCACAAATTTCGTACATGAGGCCTCTAGTTTAATTATAAATATGCGAGACCCCAAAAATACAGGTCAATGTTACCTGTAAAATACATAAAATATATACACCCTAAAGAAACAAAAGTTGAAGCAGATAATTAAATGTACAATTTATGAAATACTTCCATCAAAGAATGTACAGAAACATCGCACAGGGAGGGGTGAGACTCTCCTTAGGAGGATTAAGCTCCTAAGAATTGGATCCATGTTTTACTAGTCATTAATTAAAGTTCAGTTAACACAAATTTAATGAAAAATCTTTTTTTCTATAAAAATACTATTATATTTTAAAGTTTACCCCTCCATTGATCTTAATTCAGCAGCCTTTTACTCTCTCCTCTCACCTTTCCACTCACACCCACTAATTTCTTTAGATTTATACAATTTAACTCATATAGACTGAGGACGGTGGGGGAACAGCCATTGAGTAGGTTTGCTCTCTCAAGTTTTCCAGAAATAGATGGACTTCTGTCACTTTTATTTTTATTTACTTTTCCCCAATGCATTAAATATTCTAGAGCTTGAAGGTGGGAGGAATTGTTTTCTATGCCTGAAATGGCTCGTTAATTATTGATGTACTAAGCCATAGTTACAATGAGGCGCTTGTATAATTTTCTGTACTGTATTACTATCTGGTTTTCCCAAAAAACACATATGATCTTTATCATACATGCCAAAATGATTCCCAGTGCTCAGAGTAGAGAATTTCTCCACATATAAACTTAAAAACTTGCCAATCTAAAATTTGTCCTTTAAGCTTGATCTCCAGAATTAAATGGTTTGAGCTGATTTCTTAAGCAATTCGTGAAGAAAAGCAAAGTTGAGAGCATTGCATATACAACTTCAGAAACTGACCAGAAATCATAACTTTGAATTTCTATCAACCCATACACATTCCCTTTAATTCCACTTGTAGATTTTCAAAGAGCAGCTGGAGCTGACTAAGGAGTGACATTAAACACCACATCAATGGGCCCCCAAGCTGAGATTTTCCCAAAACAAAAGTTTTGTCTCTATTCAAAAAAGGTCAGCCTAGTGCTTTTCGGTTTTGTTTTTTTGTTTGTTTTGATAGGCTTACACTATTGTAAACAATTACAAAAGGAGCCGCATCCAGTAATTGTGTGTGAGCAGAGTAAAAGTAGCCACAACAACCAGCCATTACCCCCAAGGAGCTCATACTGTAGAATCATAAATGTCTACATACTAAATTTGTGACTGCTAGACTTAATAGTAACACAAATCAACCATGTTAATGACGGAACGTTGTTTTTCTAAGGATTAATTCATACCATGTGTTATTAATCAGCACCGTAACTGAGAGCTCATGCAAAACATGCTATCCCAGTTGAGCAGATTTTAATTGCATTATTGTTATCTGGTTTTCCTGTGTCACTGGCTCTTCCACTGCAAGTCCCTCCACACACACACAGCACCACAGACCACGGCATGGATGGATGGATGGAAAGATAGAAAACTCAGAGCTGGGAGTAAGAACCATGTGTCTGGTGGGAAGAGGATTTGGAATAAAAAAGGTTTGTCTCTGGAAAGGCAAGTCAAGTATGCACCCCGGCTGCCTTGAAAAGTAATTAAGCCTATGCTGTTTCCTTTCAGAGGGTCCCATCTTGCACAAGGTGGGAGCAGCTGTGGGAGATCACAGAAGATTCAAAGCAAGACAGGCAGCCTCATCTATCTCCCGACTGCCACACCAGCTTCCGGGTGGTGTGAAAAAGCGCTTGGCCTCTGTTCTCCCAAAGAGCACAAAGCTAACCTGCCATCCAGAACATGAGTCCCGATATCAAACCGGGCCTGAAAAGGGACCAACTAAATGTCCCAGTCAGTGTTCGGACTCGGGTCCTTTCCCGAGGTTGTGAGCTACAAGCCAAAAACCCGCAGGCAAACGCAAAATGTGGCTGCCTCCAGCACAAGTTCCTCTTGCTTCCCAGCCTTGCAGGCAGCGGTTCTCAACCTGTGGGTCGCGACCCCTTTGGCGGTCCAACGACCCTTTCACAGGGGTCACCTAAGACCATCCTGCATATCAGATATTTACATTCATAACAGTAGCAAAATTAGTTATGAAGTAGCAACGAAAATAATTTTATGGTTGGGTCACAACATGAGGAACTGTATTTAAAGGGCCAGAAGGTTGAGAACCACTGACTGGGAAGAGGAAAATGTACAAGTAAAGTGTAAGGAAGAGGAACGCCTCCGATCTGGCCTGTCCCCTTCCCGCATCCCTTAGAAGAGGCTGGGATACTACAAATCAAAGTCTGGGGACCAACTGCAGTAGACTCTGGCTGGGGCGAGGGGGAGGCCACCACACCCTCTTGAGCTCACAGCACTGACCAGCAGCGGCAGGGAGGGGCCCCCAAACTTAGTCCCAGCCGAAAAGGGAGAAAGAAGGGAGTATTCTCTCTTGGATTTGAAAAGCTGTAAACTTAGGAGAAGCGGGTTTCGGAAGGGAGCCCGGGACTTGGCTGGTATGGGAGGGGAGGGGTCGCGCCTGGAGTCAGGACAGCTCGCAACACGTCCCCGCAAAACAGCACATTTTTGTGGTTTTAGATTTAAGACCAAAAGGAACGCGCTGAGGCGAAGCTCCTCTCGCGCCTGGGGCTCAGATGCCCTCTCCTCGCTGAAGGACCAGGGC